ACTGTGACTCCTGATTCACATTCGCATACACCCGCGGGCACGGCTGATTGGTGTTGTTGTTGTTGTTGCTGCTCTTGTCTCATCTCCATCTTCTCCACCCATCGCGACGCAATTACGTCTTTGCCTTAATTTCAATCCGCCCTTGCTCCACTCAGCATCCCTTCTCCTCTCCACTCTCACCGCCTTCCCTCATTTATTGCCACCAGGTTCAAGTCTCCGCCTCGCAGTGGTACACACTTTGATTGCCACTTGGTTTGGTGCCTCGAAGCGGCGCATTCATACTAGCTACCTTTCTTCTCGAGGCTTTGCACACCGGACATGGCGCCCACTGCCTCAGCTGACTCCTCAGTCGAAGCTCGACCCGCAGCGCAGACGATGGCGACGTTCTCTTCCTCCACATCTAGCTCCGCATCGATGGCTCGATCCAGCTCAGCTCCCGGCGGATATGAAGAGCTGCCTCTTTTGCAAATCGTCTACGCATCATCCTCGCCCGAGCGCAGCCCCGCTGCTGCCAGCGTTGAGCAGATTCTTCGCACATCCAGACGAAACAACGCAGCAGAGGACATTACCGGCCTCCTCCTCTTTCACGACGGTAGCTTTGTTCAATTCCTCGAAGGTCCTGCTGCCAATGTGAAGCGCGTATACGAGCGTATCAGAAAGGACGATAGGCACAGAGGTGTCATCGAGATTTTTAGCGCGTCCGTCGCCAAGAGGAGCTTTGCGGATTGGAGCATGGCGTACAGAGACTTGAGCGCTGCTCGTCAAGACGAACAGTCACCTGAAGATGCCAAGAGGGTGGCAGGTGAACTCAGTCACATTCTAGACTCACCGGAACCCAGGTGAGTGCTACCTGTTGTTCGCAGCTTGCAGCTCCGCGAACAGAGATACGGGAGGACGCGTGAAGCGATGGCGCGCGCGTGGATGCCCATCCTCGTTCCCTCTGAAACGCAGAGGCCGACCCGGGTCACTAAATGGACAATATTTTTAGGCTCGCTTGCCGCATTATCAGAGTCTATTTGTCTGACGCACTCGTCGCTCCCTCCCAGTTTGACCCCGGACATGTCTCCCAAGATTCGCCGCTTGATCGGCACTTTTCACCGGCTGTTGTCGACTTGATTAGCGTTGCTTCGTCAACACACTCACATGGCCCCTCACAAACCGCTCTGCAAAGCAATCGACGTCAGGTCTCACTCGCGACGATCCTTGGCTCATGCCTTCTCGACCTTCGACATGCCCTTTGCTGCATCTCTGTCCCGCTTTCTGCCCTCCTTCTTGCTGCCACTCGCCACACCTTTGAGCTGATCGGCTCGCGACTCTTTTTGTGCACATGAATACACGCATTCGGAGGCATCCGCAATGTTCCTCTAGCCATCCGTCTCATGTTCCGCCTTCTGCGTCACCCGGTCTCGTCTCTGCTCGCGCAATATCATACTTTCCGGCGGACGATATTGTTGCCCCCTTTCCCCTTTTCGTCAATCAAACTTTCCTCGGGTCTTTAGCAAATCGACACATCAAGTGCATCCCCTTGCGGTGTAAGTCACTTGCAATGCTCGCTGCACTTGGGCTCACTGTGCGCTTCTTTGTGTGAGGGTGACCAAGGTCTGCTTGCTAGTCGACTTGGCATCCCCAGGATTTCCCCCCCCCCCGCGAGCTTGGGCGATCAGATTCCTCAGCACATTCACGACAGTTCTGGGCATGCATGCGATTGCGATCTTCGCTCGTACAATTTTTCATCATCATTGAGCGCGAGATCGAATTCTCGAAAAGTTTGCGCTTAGCACTGTTTGGCGTAGCCGGTAGGCACGTTGCCACTTCCAGCAGGAAGGCTATGAGGTTCCTTTCTGATATTCTTGTGCTTATGATGATGCTGGTGGCCATGAGCAGCGGCTGCGGCGGCGGCAGCGGGAGGGTTGTTGCCCGAAGCTTGAGATTGCAGGGGAGGCTGCTGCTTGCTCATCACATTGGCGAGATGTGCAGAGGCTGAGCTGCTGTCGACCAGGTCCTCCGTGATGGACATGATGTCGGTGATCAGCTGGTCGATCATGTCTTCAGACAAGTTGCTGCGAACCACGACACGCAGGATCTGAATTGACTGACAGTCTGGCGCCAGCTCGTAGTTCTGGAAGGGGGAAAGAAGAGATGAGGACGACGACATGGTCAGCCAGGGATAGCCAAGAGACCGCAAGAAGCCCTTGCGCTGCGCCACTCACCGGCACGATCCAGCCCTTGGCACGAAGAAGCGTTTGCATCCATCGTTGCTCCAGGTGCGGATTCTGCTGCTGGAACTCTTGCGTCCATTTGAACGCAACAACTGGCAAGCCGGGGACGTAATTCTCCGCGCTGTCATCACCCCCAGCCGCTTTTCTGACCTTGCTGGCCACGCCAGCGATCGCACCTGCAGGCTTGTGAATGTCGGAAAGAACATCGTAGTAAGAGCTGTTCTCGAGCGCTCGAGAGAGCAAACGAGCATTGCGAAGATCTTGCTCCATCACGAGCCTGTAGCCTTCGAATCCGCGCTGGATCAGGTTGTAATATTGCGCAATGACGGGTGCGGCAGGCCGAGAAAAGTTGAGACCGAAACTGTACTCCACACTTCCCAGGTAGTGCAGCTCAAAGACCAACTCCTTTGGCAGCACCTCTTCGTTTCGCAATACAATCCATCCAATACCTGGGTATGCTCCGCCAAACTTGTGCCCAGAGGTGTTGATGGAGACGACTCTAGGCAGGCTAAAGTCCCACTTAAGCGAAGGGTGAGCGAAAGGAGCGACGAAGCCACCAGAGGCTGCGTCGACGTGAATGGGGATGTGAATGCCCGTCTTGCTCTCGTACTCGTCCAGCAGCTTGCTCATCTCATCGACGGGCTCGTAAGCACCAGTGTAGGTGCTTCCGAGGATGACAATCACACCAATCGTATTCTCATCGACCATGTTGATGGCCTTGGTGGGATCCATGCGGTAGTGGCTCTCCTTGCTGGTAGGTACGAGCCTCTCTTCAATGTCAAAGTACCTCGAAGCCTTTTCGATGGCGACTTGAGCATTGGCTCCGTACACGAGATTGGGTCCTGGTTCTTTGAAGCTCTTGCCCTGAGCCTTGCGCTTGGCTTGCCACACCTTCTTCATGGCAAGCACTCCCAGCATGATCGCTTCTGAAGATCCAGTCGTGGCTACTCCCTGTGCCGCTTTATGTTTGCCCTCTGCATCAGTCTCGTGAGGTGCGTGCCAGAGGTCTGCCAGCATGCTGATGCAGCGTCCATGAATGGCCATAGTAGCCTGCAGAAGGAAAAAAAAAGGGCAAAACTTGCGTTGTCAGCCAGGACTGGCACATGATGTCCACGTCCAAGTCATCGCGAAGAGCGCGCGCACTGAAGGTGACTCACTGGATACTCGTCTTGGTCGCACAGATTGACGCCGACATTCTCGCTCATGAGACGAGTGGCATGCTCGTCCATGGCAGTGTGCACGAACGATGCCAGCTGCGGTGAGATGAACAAAGCAGGACAGTGAGCAATGGCAGTGCTCAGCACCGCATGAGCGCACCATTCCTGTCATCACTCACATTTAGCGTGGGCTTTCCATCCAGACTGAGCTCATCCTTGATGATGTTGTAAGCTGCTGAGCCATCGATGCCGGACTCGGGCAGCTTGTACTTGGGAATGGGATGGGATTGATACCTGCCATAGTGCAGGTTGTGGAAAGCTCTCGAGCTTCTGCCAGTGTCTGAGAGCAGACCGAGGTGAGGATGATCCTCTGCAGCTTGCAGCAGTGCCTCGACGTTGACGTGCTTGGAGAGCGTCATGATGGAAGTCTAGCTGTTGTGTGTATACGCTGAATGCCAAAGGCGCACGAATGACTTGCAGCGCAGGTATGGATGGTGGCTGGTCAAAGTGAGGAGGGATGGATGTTGCACAGCAGATGCTTATAGTGTCGACGTGAGCCCAGCAAACGTGCGTGCTTGGTGGACATGAGCAAGCTCCCTGCCTGCCGCGAGATCTTCGATGGACATAGCAGCGCCATGCAATGCCTGCACCCTCACTCGATCGATCGACCCGAGTCTGTGGCTGTGGCTGTGGCTGCGGCTGCGGCTGTGGCTGTTCCTGTCCACTTGCGACTGCAGAGCCAGAAGTCAGAGTAGTCGAGTCGCGGCAAGCAGAGCGTCATGCCAACAGCCAGCTATAGCCTTTAGCAGACCCTTCTTCCTGGCTGACCCGCCGGGCCATGATGTGGAGGTAAGTGCATGGTATGCATGGTGGGCAGGCAGCAGCAGCAGCAGCAGCAGGTATAGGCATCATGCGCGCACACATCGGCAGCAGGGGTGACACTGCGCTCACCCAATCGAGGTCCAAAATAGCTGTAGTCCGCGTGCATGCGCACCCGAAACGGCAGCTCGGCACGGGAAGGAGGAGAGCAGAGGTGATGAGTGAACCGCCGGCTGGGCGACGCTTTGCACGCGCGCACGGCTGCTTCGTCTCGTCTAATTGCTGCTGCGATAGGCACGAATCTCACCGGCTCGTATGTATGTATCAGGTCATCAACTATACCGTACATTTATGCGCATAAGGCGGCGATGAAGGTGATCACGTGTTCAAGGCGATTGATTACCTGGACCATAGCCAAAGGTCATCAATAATTCCTTTGATGCTTGGCTATGCTCAGCCAACACCCTTCTCTCACAATCAAAGCCCAGCAAAGCAAGCATGGCCTGCTCTTTACAGTGATCGAGGGCAAAGCCACATGTCTCGTCAACCGGCATTCATCGCTCAGCTTCAACGTTACATCGACACCACCTGGCCCAATGCCATGGCGTGTTAGGTGATGGCATACCTTGAAAAGAGGCACAAGCATGTCGACCAACGTCACGCAAGCATGGCGGGGAGCCGGCATGCCTTTGGCGACACCAGCTTCGTGCTGGGAAGAGTTTGGAAGGTGTAGCATCATCTTCACATTGCGAGCATTGGACATTGCCGTTCCCACCTTGTTCTTCTTGCTTTGGCTCAAGTACGCGTGGAATGCGCTCAAGAGCAAAGCCGCAGCAGCAGACGCATCATCCACCGCGCACGCACAGCGCTCACCACAGTCGCAGCACCAGCAGCACAAGGCTTGGGTGTCCAGCTGCAAGGTCAGGCACGCCCGATTCATCCCAACAACCCACGCATTTGCTTACCCCGCTCTGTACGGCATCTACGAGCTCAGCGCGCTCGAATCGGGCCAATGCGATGCTCAGGGCGCTTTTCGATGGCAAGGTCATGGCGAAGAGGCGAGGGTGAGAGAGGGGGGCAAGAGCGGGATCGGCTGGCTGCCATGCATCACTGCCATCCATCCCCGCTCTCATCTGCACCTCGCCATCCCTTCCCTGTCGACCAGCACGCGATCTCGGGTGGAAGGTAGCATCCTGCGCAAGCTGGCTTGGGAGCTGCGAGAGAGGGGTCACACAGACAAAGGCCCGCAGGATGAAGCATCGCTTCGAGACGAGTGGCGCAGTCAGCTTGGACAAGTGTGGATGGTGTGCATGCCCAGCCTGGCAGGCTTGCAAGGCATCAACCCCTTGACCACCTACTTTGTCCATCGACCCACGAGCAGCGAGAGCGAAAGAGGTCCGCTTTGGCTTTGCGTGCTCGAAGTGCACAACACTTTTTCCGAAAGGCACCTGTACATCCTCGAAGTGGGCAAGGGGGAGGATGCTCTCCCAACCAGCGCGACAAAACATCGCGGCTCGTACGAGCATTCTTGGACCTTCGACAGGGCATTCCATGTGAGCCCATTCAATGACAGGGGTGGATGGTACCGGCTGCTACTATCGCCCCTATGGAAGGAAGGTCAGCAGCATCCCGAGATTGACGTTCGTCTCGTGCTACTTGTTGCGTCAAAGGATGAAGGTGGAAGGCCAATTGGAGAACTCGTCGCAAAGCCTCATGCCGACGATGCGTTTCGGCGCAAAAAGCTCTTTGCAACACTCAACTCTACCCAGGTCCGACCCCTCACTACCAGCACGATGTGGTGGGCGCTCATCAGACAGCCCTTCGACCTGATCTTGCCCTTTGGCCGCATCCTGGCTGAAGCAGCCAAGCTTCACTTCCAGAAGCGTCTCTCGGTTTTTCCAAAACCCGAAGTGCGTGCTCCTCTAGCTCATCACCAAGAGCCCTCTTCAAGCAAAGTTTTGTCAAATGATGTGCAAGCAAGACGTGGTAGTGCTGCAGCGGACTTGGTCCGCGGAGCCATCGGTTGGCAAGCAGAGACTGGCGCAGAAAAGACAGCGAGGGAGCGCTTGGCCGCTTTTGCGCGAACGCGGGCAGATGAAAATGGGCCAGGCCTGAAGATCGTCTCTGCTGATCCTCTGGCCGAGAAGTTTGAGATCGCCACTGCTCCAGAGCATGCAGACGTTCCCACGATGGTGATCACGACGCGCTCGCAAGCTGTATACAGCGACCTCTTGCTCTTTCCTCCCCGCTTCGCGCATCTTGTCGGGTCGGTAGCCGGTCAGCGTTGGGATGCACCGGCCGACGCGCTGCAGAGCTACCTGATGCCCTTTGTAGAACATTCGGCGCAAAAAATGGGCTGGAGGACCCGCTGTGCGCGGTTCATCAGACGAAAGCACCTTGCTTGGCTCTTGACATTTTGCGATTTGCCAAGCGAAGGGCCTCGCAGCGCATCGACTCTATTGAACATGGTCCATGCTCCTCACCCATTGGACCAGCTCAGCACGCCCGACGGGTCATTTGACGAACCCAGCCTGAATCACCTCTTTGCGCTCTTGTCCACCGCCTCATCCGCCCGCTTGGAAGAGTTTCTCGTCAGGCGATCAGGCGTGCATTACGTCAGCGGCACCGAGGGCTGGCTCGAGCTACGACGGGCTTTGGCACAACTCGATTCCCCATCCGATTCATCCATCAAAGCGTCTTGGGATTGGAGACTTGGTAGCGTTCTGGCCTCATGACGAACCCTTTCGGGACGCCGCGCAAGTTGTTTCTTGTTAGATACCCCACCCTTGCTACCACATCGCAATGCAGGCTTAACCGGGCGCATAATGGCATGCGGCTACGATCTCGTTTGCGTGCGAGGACCATTCATGATTCAGATGTCTCGTACTGGCCATCGCTCGACAAGCGTCTCGCTGGAAATTCTGAAAAGGTTGGTGCACGGGCGAGGTGTCTCCGCAGGCGCTGAATAGCCGCAGTGCGAGCTCATTCGGGTCATTCACATCAATCGACTTCGCCAAATTACGCGGGTCTGTACAGCAAGAGTTGCGCAGCCGGACTTCCACCCAAAGATAGCCAAGTCGATATATTCATTCACAAGTTGCTTTTTCCGGATCTCGAATACGGGTGTCCGAAGAGGATGATAACAGAACATCAAAAGGCTTTCCAAGAGACTCGAGAGTGGAATCGTTTGGTGCGGTGGGTTAATCGCTAAGCTCACCCAGCTCGACAGCAGCAGCACCGAGCACGGGAGATTTGCGCTCGACGGCGGTAGCAGTGAAGATGACGCGCTCGCCCTCTTTCCAAGAGTCGATCTGGAGTGTCTCGCCGGGGTAGAGCACACCAGTGAAGCGCACCTTGATCGCCTTCCAAGGACCGTAGACATCCTTGAGGATCTTGCCTGCAATGCCGAAGCTGCACAGACCGTGGAGGATGGGCTGGTCGAAGCCTCCCATCTTTGCAAAGTCTGGCGCGATGTGCAATGGGTTCAAGTCACCAGACAGGCGGTAAAGCGCAGCCTGGTCAGCTCCGGTCTTGAACTTGGTGCTGTTGTCTGGGCTGCGCTTGGGGGGCTGGTTGGCAGCCGAGGCAGCACCGCGGTCCTTGCCCTGCTTCTGTCCGCCGAAACCACCGGCTCCACGGCAGAAGACAGTGCTCTCCGAAGTGGCGAGGAGAGTGCCGTCCGAGGCCGCCTTGGTCAAGGTGCGGCTGGTGACGACGGCAGCCTTGCCCTTGTCGAGAACCTCAATGAAGCGGGGCTCGTTGCGAACGAGCGCCTCGGTGGGAAGCTTCTTGTGCAGGGCAAGGTACTGCTCAGCATGCAACAAACGGGTAGGGTCGAAATTTTGAAGCCAACCCATGTCCAGACCTGAGCTAGCGCCGAAGCTGAGGATGACACCAAAGGTGGGGACAGGAGCGAAGTCATCGTCGCCTTCGTAGACGTAAGGCAGCTCCTTGGCACCTGCGCCTACACCTAGAGCGTAAAGGATGACGTCTCTCTCGGTGTAAGAGAATTCGCTTGGCTCCGGCTTGGCCTTCTTGGCCTCAGCGATCTCCTTCGGGTCATCTGGGTGAGAAAAGTCCTCGTCACCTTCTCCATCCTCCTCGTCACCCTCCTCGCTCTCGCCTGCATTGCCAATGTTGCCTGCAAAGCGCACGTCAATCGTAAGCAACACGCGCGTCTAGCAAGCGCGCGGGCGCGACCGAATTTCCACTCACTCATAATTTGCTCCATGGCTTCCTGGTTGCTCGCTGGGAAGGAAGACTCCTCGGACTCGTAGTTGGAGATGTCACCCCATCGCTTCTGGATGGACTCGACTTGCAGCTCGCGAGTGAAGCTGAAAGCGTGACCACCGGCACGCTGCCAGCGGACAGCAGCAACCCAACCTCCGGAGACCTCCCAGAGCAGCTTGGTGTGCTCTTCGTTGGCCTCGCTGGCCAAGTAGCCGACAGCAGGGGCGATGTACTCCGTCTTGAAAGCATCGACCATCTCCTGGGGCCAGATGGTGGAGGTCATGGCGGTACCTGTATTTGTCACACGATTAGCTTACACTTTCAGATGGACCGCACTGGGCACATCAGAGTCGCATCGCACGTTCACGACTCACCAGCATTAGGGGCAATGGTGTTGGCCAAGATGTTGTACTTTTGACCTTCAATAGCCAGAGTTTGGGTGAATCCGAGGATACCACCCTTAGCAGTAGAGTAGTTGGCCTGTCCAAAGTTTCCGTAGATGCCCACAGCGGATGTCGTGTTGACGATGCGGCCGTACTTTTGCTCAATGAAGATTGGCCAGGCAGCCTTGCAGATGGCGTAAGTACCACGCAAGTGGATGTTGACGACGGCGTGCCAGTCCTTGTCCTCGACACCGGCAAAAGACTTGTCGCGCAAGATACCGGCGTTGTTAATCACGACATGCAGACCGCCGAAGGCATCGACAGCGGCCTTGACGATTTTCTCGCCATCCTCGACGCTGCCAATAGCGGGGGCAGCCTTGTAGCCCGCCTTTTTGAGTTCTTCGACAGTCTTGTTGGCGTTGTCGGCGGAGAAGTCGTTGACCACGACATTGGCGCCGAGCTTTCCGAACATCTCGGCGTACGCCTTTCCAAGACCTGCACCTGCACCAGTGATGAGGACCGTCTTGCCGTCGAAGCGGACTTCGTCCTTGCCCTCGTTGGGCTTCGCTTCCTTGGCTCGCTCCAAGAATTCCAAGTGGTTGGCGTCAGTGATCTTGTCGGGGTACTCGGGCGAGTTGTCGAAGTCGAGAATCTCATCAACCTTTGCCTTGACGGCAGATGGCGTGAAGCTTTGATCCGTCTTGAACACAACACCCCGGGAACGCTGGCGACGTAGGGAAGCCATGAAGCCGGCACCAGACTCGATGAGCTGGCCACTGATGTCCTCGTTAGCGGCCGAGCAGAGGAAAGTAGCCAGAGGTGCGACGAACTCGGGCTTCAGGTTCTCGAGGATCTCGGGAGGCATGATGGAAGCCAGCATCTGGGATGCAGCGATGGGTGCAATAGTGTTGGCGAAAATGTTGTACCTTGCACCTTCAATTGCCAGGGTCTTTGTGAAGGAGATCATGGCCATCTTGGCGGCAGAGTAGTTTGCCTGACCGAAGTTGCCGTAGATACCAGCGGCCGAGGAGATGTTGATGATGCGACCGAACTAGCGACCAAAGGATCCGCAGAACGCCATGATCGAAGGAGTCAGCTTGGACTTCAAGCAAATGCTTGGAACTCGCTGTACAGCTCGAGTGAGACAGTCCGAATGCGCACCTTTTGCTCCCTGAAGTGAGGCCAAGCGGCTCTCGCGCACGCGTACGAGCCAGTGATGTGCACAGCGGTGATCGCATCCCATTCCTTGTCGCTCATGGACTTGAAGCTGCACCACCAAGCATCGCAGTCAGTCAGTCAGGGCAGCTCTTGGCGGGATTTGACCGGAGCTCACACTCACGATTTGTCTCTCAGAATACCAGCATTGTTAATAAGGATCTACAGATATCAAAAGAAAGCGAGACCGTCAGCTCGTGCTGTATCGAGCTCTCAATGTGCACACTCCTCGCAAAGCTTGTCCGGCGTCTTCGCAGGAACAGCTTCATTGCCCCGTACAAGGGTGACAGGCGCCTCTGCAAAACTCACGTCTACACGTCCCCACTTGTCGACAGCCTGCTTGACGATCTTGGCGCCTTCCAGGTTGGAATCCAAGTTGGCGATGGCCTCTCCGCCTGCCTTTGTGATTTCTTCAACCACAACCTCGGCTGCCTTGCGGTTCTTGTCTTGGGTGGAGGGACCAAGATCGTTGATGACGACCTTTGCCCCTCGCTTGGCCAGGCTCAGCGCGTAGCTATGAGGAGCGCAAAGGTGCGTAAGCGAAAGTCGAGAATGTGCAGGTATCACCACTACGATGGCGCTGCAGGGCATCTACTCACGCGCGGCCGAGACCGTTACCAGCGCCAGTGACGATGGCAACACGTCCCTTGAGGGAGATTTTGCCATTCTCTGTCGCTGGGAAGTCTGACATCTTTTGAATGATGAGTGTGGATCAGGGGAGCGGGATGTTCGAAACGCTGGAGCAGGTCAAAGTCAGTCTCGAGTGGATTGTGTAGAGGTCCAGCTCGCAATTTCTGACCGATTGAGGATGCTCAGTGATGATGATGGTGGTGGAAGATGAGAAGGCTGGTGGGGAAGAGCGGAGCGTGATGAAGGCCGCTGCCATGTGTGCGCACCCGGCTTGTGCGAGCATCGATGGGCAGGATGCGGCAACTGGGTGGACCGGGTGTGCGTTGTAAGCTTGATGGCTCTCAATCTCGCTGCAAGGTGTCCCGTGTGAATGCCTTCTCCACGCATCAGCAGGGCCAACATCATCTGGAGCGCCTGTGGTGCATGTGTGTGGAGAGCAGAGCGTCAGCGGCGATGCACGTCGTTTGGGTGCACGCGCTATGACTGGCGTAGCGCCTGCCATGCGTCTCTGCATAGTAACTCGATCTTCACGAGCGACCCGGCTAGCTTCTCGCGCGCGTTACCGGGCACAGCCCACCCCAGCTTGGGCTATGGTCGCAGGCTGTGTGTGAGCTTGAGCGGGTCATCACTGCACGCATGAATCGTGAATGCTGCATGGCTGCCCGTCTGCGACGAATGACGTTCGCATGCGCAACTTGGCGCGCTTGACGAGACCTGCGCCGCCCTGCACGGGCGTAGAGTCTCAATTGTGATTTGTTGAAAGCCAGCCGCTTTCAAGTATCGCACGCGAGGCGCGTCCGCTCCGTCAAACCCGGAATAAACGCAAAGGTTCTGGATGATTCTCACACCAAATATGCTGAGACTAGCAGCAGCACGCCGCTACAACAAGTCATGGGATCGCCATACTAGCTCATCTAAGCTCAGGTGACTCTTGGCCATGTTGCAAAACCGTCAAGGCATCCCATTCAGGCAGTGAAGCTTGTGGGCCTGCAAGTCACCGGAAAAAAGCCAGACGGATATCTTACAGAAGGGAGAAGACGCGTGACATGGGTGAGGAATGGGCGGTGCCTAAGTGATCCATCACTAACAAAGGCTTCTGAATCAAGGGCTTCTACGACTCAGAGCCTGAGCACCTCGAGACTTCTCTTTTATCTAGCGCATGTGGAAGGAGTAGGAGTCGGCGCTACGATTACTGGTCGCTGATTCAGGAGTAGCCAGCACCGAAGAGGGCGAGTGGAAATTGGCGTTGGAAGCCGGAGTGACTGCCACAAACCCAGTGCTCGAATGGCGCCATTCTGGTGTGCGGGGAGATCTATCCCCGAGGGGTGATGGGTCCGCTTCTTCATTGTCCTTCGCGCGGGATGTGTATATCTTCAGACCTTGACCTCCAGCGCTGACTCGCTTGGCCATTCGATTCGAGCTAGAACGGCTCATCGAAGGCAACTCGAGACTAGGCGCAACGATCCCCCTTTCCGTTGCTTTTACAGAAGAAAAGCTCTGGCGAAGCCGGGGAGAGCGACTATGCTCCTCGGGCTCGAGCACGAATGAAGAAGGCGGTCCGGCTGCTCGCGCTGCTCGGTCGCCTGCAACAAGCTCCAAAAGCAAGATGTCCCGGCGGGAAGCGTGTCGGGCAACTTCAAGACGCAGCTCACGAATCTTCTGACTCAGAGGCACGGCTGCCGCTTCGATGCGATCTCGCGTAGTCTTCTGGAAAGGCGTGAGGACGGCAAAATGCCTCGCCAGCCGGAGATTGTCGTCCAGCTCGCTCCTCTTTTCTTGGAGTTTTTCCGTAACTTCCCTGATGAAAGGCTTCAATTCGCGACGACGAGCGTAGACTCTTCTGCGCATGACTCCTACAAGCGGCGTAGAAGCTGCCGAGCTCTGTCCACCAAAAATGGACGGGCTAGACAGAGGTGACGGCTCTTGAGAAAGTGCAGCGCCAAGCTGTCCGGGGTACGACTCAGAAGTTGGACTCGGTGTAGCGTTTGGCAGAGCAGCCCCGGGCAGTGTCATCCCATCCAGAGAAGGCGTTGCACTCGGGCGCCGTGACATTGTCGAAGAATCAAACGTCGCGCTCCTGTTCACGACCGAAGCTGCATCGTCGTCATCTTCGGGTGCAGGATCAAGGCCCCGCATTCGAATGCCGCCGGACCGGAAAGTACCGCAGAAGTTGATCTTGGCGATCCAATCATTCATCTCAGCCTCGCTAGGAGTCTGAAACAAGAACTGTTTAGTCTGTCCGCCCTGGTCCGCAATGAGTCGAAAGACATTCTCGTACTTCTTGTGAGTGATGTCGCGCACAGCGAAAGCATTGCTGAGAGAGAGAACCCCATCCGGGCGGAAGAAACTGATGCGAGGAGCGATGACCACGTTGGGTATCGTGTAATTCTCGGTCTGCGCTGAGATTTGCTGGTCCAATGCGGATGTCCAGATGAGATCTCTGAAGAAGAGGAGCTGCGAGCTGGTCAAAATCATCCCGCAAGTCCTCCATTTGCGAGACTGTGCCTTTTTGGCGCCTTCCAAGTCGTCCTTGCGACTGACACAGCCTACCTTCGTCACCCGAAGGCTGACGGTGTGAGCCGGGGCGCGGTCCAGCATTAGTGTGGTCATCATTGCCGTGCTTGAGTATGGACTATCGCCTCCCCACGAAGAACCAGTTGGGAGGGCTGGGCCACGTTGAGTGAAAATTTCGATCGACGGGGCTCTGCTGAACGCATCGTTGAGGCTTTCCACATCGAACTGATCGGCAGTCCCGGTATACGAAAAGGGGGACTCCTCTAGAACCAAGCTGAGGATGTCTGGATTCAGCTCGGTGGTCCGGCCTTGAGCGATCATGGCGTACGCATCCACTTTGACGCGACTGGAAGCATTGTTCCCGCCTGCCCCTATGGCTGAGAAGAAGCCGGAGCCACCGTCAACTGAGACGGGCTCCGAGACTCTTCGCTTGATGTCGTCTGCATTCTCGACGTAGATGAACTGTGCATAGATCAGATTATCGTAGAGATACTGCGGCAAACAACGGGATTGGATCAACTCTTCGACATATCGACTTCATGCCCACGCACAAACTTACCTCAAGGATCTCCACAGGAGCCTTACTGGACGCGGTGTTGCGGACGTAATCAGCTTTGGTCATCTTGTTCTTTGCATTCTTGTTGAAGGCGTCGGTATGTAGCATCATCAGCGAGAACGCCAAAATGTATGGCTGATCTATGAGAGGATTATGGATGGGAGCCCCGGAGTGAGCACATAAGGAAGCACACCTCCGATGCCTTGAGACTCACCTTGCGCTGCGAAGAGGTCCTCGTTGCACTCATTGTACCTTTGAGCAAAGGCTTCCATGACGCGATCGATTTGCTGAGTCTCCTTCGGCAGACACAAGCTCATCAAGAGCTTGCGCAACGCAATGTCCAAGGGATGACCTGCGAACAGAAAACGCCGCATGAATAGTTGCAAAGCGTGTTTGTGCAGTTCGTCGGTTTTTGAAGCCAAAACGGCAACCACGTCATTGCGAGGCACGGACGCGACGACATGCTCGACGAACGTTTCTGGCGAGTCAAATTCTCGAGCGCCGGAATCCTGAGAGGCTTTGCTTGGCTTTTCAAACTTGTCAACATGCGTTGTGCTAGACTGAAGTGAGGTGGACGCGGGATCCGAGTCTGCAGACCTGAGATGCTCCAGTGCAATAGACGTCCGCCGCATGGCATCCTGCTGCACGCTGTCCTTGGCGGCGATTGCTGATGCCACTGAGTTCAGAACTTGCTGTGTGGAGTGCCCCCGTCCATCGCCTGAAGCGAGCGACGGGCGACCCTCGAGTGCAACACTAGATGAAGTTCTTGAGCGAGTCCAAGGTAAGCTAGGGATGAGCGAGGATGCTCGTTGCCTTGGAGTAGCCGAGGCGCTACTGCCACCAAATAGCGCAGACGCTCCCCCACTGTGATCCAGACGTGATGTGCCAGCTGACGAGCTGATTGGAGCAGCTATTGAAGGACCTGCACCATCCACAGTCTTGGCAGACGAAGGGCGAGCCACACTAGAGCGTCGCGAAACATTGACCGCTCCACTCGGATACTCGTCGACGCCCGCAGTGCTGCTATTGGCTCTAGCAAGTCGCCAAGGAGGAGCTTGGCGTTGGACGAATGATCGCCGGCGACCGGGAGCATTGCTGTCTGGTGGTGACATTGGGGGAAAGTATTGACGTCTCTCCTCCTCTGGCGAGGAATCCAAGAGCTCGAGGCGCGAGCTAGAAGTCATTTCCCAGCCCGATCTTGCTCGCGATGCTTCCTTCGCTGCTTTGAACCTTTCATCAGCTACCCAAGCTTTCGACGAAAGCGTGGGGGAATCCATGGGCGAAGCAGTGAGGGCCTCGTGTGCCCCATCGATGGCGATGGAAGGAGCAAGGCGACTGCTTGCGTCGGCAGCGCCGCTGGTGCGTGGCCGGCGTTGGCGATGGTTTGATCTGGCAGAGTCCGCGGAGCGATCTGTGGACTTGCCCTTGCTCGAGCCAGATTGGCCTTCGTCTCTGCCGCCTACGCCGGTGGCTCTCTCGCGAGACGAAGAGGTGTGAGATGCCTTCGAGCCTTGCAGATTGACCTGAGAGCGGGTTTTCCGTGGACGTCTTCCCTCGACGTGCCGCTGCTCAGCCTCGTGGTCCCGTGTTGGCATGACAAAGGTTCCAAGACCAACAAGAGCGGAGCTAGCAGGCAGGCTTGCCACCGCCGCATGACCCTCGTCCTCATCGCCCACCCGATCGCGCGGACCCATCAACTTGGACTTGAACAAATTTGCCATTCGAGAAGGCGTGGAGGCCGGAGCGCTCACTTGCCGCGCCTTACTTGGAGTCCGAGCTAGCTCAGAAGGCAAGGCTGGAGGCGCTATAGCTGGAGGTGGCAATTGCGGAGGTGCGACCCCCGTTCTTCTGGAGAATGACCCGAGGATGCGCGGGGAAGTAGCTGGAATGTCATTATTTGATGGTGATGCGACTGCTATGCGTGGAGCATGCACGCGTCCAGTAATCGTTCTCTCCGCATCAACGATGCTAGCTGATTGCTTGGGGGACTGACGGTTCCGAGAGTGTTCCTGCGATACCTCCCAGGAAGCATCTGGTTCACCAGCTACAGAGCTGCTTTGCTTGGGCATACCGATTGAAGCCAAAGACCTTCGCCGACGGTGGGAATTGGATTCAGGGTTGCTGTCGATCGAAGGGACCGCTCGGTGCTGCCTCTTGGCAGTACCCAAGCCTTCGGCCAGAATGCTGCCATCAACATAGCTTCCTTTCTTTGATGGCGCAACGTCATCTTGAGCTGAAGCCGATTCATGATCCACGTCAGAGCCCAAATGGCGCCTCGAGGGGACGCCAGCGATTGGATCATGCACAGCATGGCTGCCCGCCACAAGAGCTTGACTAGGGTGATGGATGAGCTCGATCTGCTCCGCGAAATCTTCTCCATCCTCTTGCGAATCCTGAGGCATCTTGAGCTTTGATGGCGCCGCGACCAAGCTGCTGCTAGACGCAAATCGACCACTCCTCAGCATGTGATCGAGATCGGAGCTAGCCCTGCCGTCGCTGGGGGAGCTGCCACTATGTCGTGAACTCGAGATGGACAAACGCGGCTCGCTCGATCCCGTGTTTTCCACTGCGCTGATGACTGCATTGATCGATCTCGAAGAATTGCCAGAGCGGGTAGAGCTCGATGCGCGTGCGGAGGGAGAGGCGGAGCCTTCTTTGGGCGCATCCGAAGAGTCTCCTGCGGATGTGCTAGGCTTTGACTTATTACGTAGCCCGCGACCAAGCCTGAAGATGCTGGCCGTTCTAGATGGCTTGGATGAGGAGCTTGAAATGCTCGGGGGCTTCAAACCAACGTCGGAAGTCTCCGGACGAGAGGGCATCTCTGGGGCTCTAGTGAGATGCTCTCGCTCTGTTTCGAAGCGACCGCTAAGCTGAGGAACGACGACTGAAGGGAACGTGCCGGACTCGACTGGCGCTGCTCCGTCTCCTAAAGATCTGTGCGGCTTCAAAGTGCTGAAGGCGCCGTCCCCGGTGCTTGCTCTGTGTGCAGACTGGTGCTGGTGGGAAGATCCAGGACGGACCATTGCTGGACGACTCGCACTCGTCCCAGAGGAGGTCGTCCGCTGCGAGCGAGAACGTTGCACGCCCGTGCCAGTGAGCGCCGGTGTGGATGCTCGGTGCGACGAGGAAGGTGCATGGCCGTCTCCGACCCGAGCTTGCGCCCAATCGCTTTTCGCATACGAGGACATTACTGCGGAGGTCAGGCATAGAGGAGGGTCTCTTTGACCTGGCTCCTCTATGCACTTCTCAACCCCGCGCACCACTCTGCGACACGAGCACGGCGTGCAGCGATTCGAATGGCTGCGATGTGATCAGAGAAGATCGTGATGCGGTGGATGGTAGTTATGAGCTGCCCAGCATCGAACTCGATGGCAGCTTGGGTGATGTTCCGTAGGCTCCACAGCGATGGCAGAAGGTGTGTTGATAATGATGCTCTGCGGCCAGACGCATTAACTCATAATGACATCTGACAGCTGCAGGTATGATTGATGTGCGACGAGGTGCCGTTCGCCACCCATCAAGTGCTAGGCTGTCGCTGAAGCCGGGGGTGCCGGTAGGCGATTGTGTTTGTGGGATACCGGTACGCGTTCGGGCGCGTACCTGCGTGGGCGTTAGGGTATAGCAGCGGTGCGTGGCCGGCCCTTGGAGATCCTTGCGGCGGCGGACGAGTCCGAAGGAAGGGGCGGTGCTAATAATGCTGCTGCTGCTGCACGGATCCACACACCTGTGCCGGCATGTAGTTGCTGATGCAGTGTGGGTGGACGGCTGAAGCAGCGAAGGGCTAGAATTGAGGTTGTTGTGCAAGCTGATAAAGATGAAACTTGTGTGTCGCTTCTCACACTCACGATCGACGATGCTCGACAAAAGGTGATGAACAAGCCACGAGTGAGACAGTCACAGTCACACAAACAGAACTGCAAACCGCGAACTATCGAGGGCCGCGCGGGAAGCTATAAGCGCGCTGATGCTGCATACGCGTATATAGCAGCTGATCGAAGTTTCGCCGGCTACTTTTTGGCACACTCATTACGCGCACCATCTATGCAGCACATGCTATACCGGGTATATACCTGCAGCCTATATAGCTGAAGAGGCGAACGTTGCAAGGGCGACATTCACGCACGCCCTCGCACCGGATCCCGGCCCGCGCATCAGCAGCAGCACATCAGCAGCTAGGCCGGAAAGAATCAAGCCGCGTTAGGAAGTAGCTGACTGTCAGTCACGCAAGTCACGAGTGTGTGTGTGTGTCCGTGTGGCCAACATCATTCATCAGCTGAGTCCTCAAGAGTAGCAGCTCTACGCACGGGCATTTGGCGTGACTCACTCTTCTAGCTGCCGCTAGACGCGTTGACGCTGTTGCACCTCATTCGCACAATCAAGTTGCGAAGGCTCGTGAGTCTCGAGTTCAACACCCAAGCACTCAACTCAGATCACTCGCAGCCATATCATACGCGATTCGTGCTTCCATCACCATGCCTCAACCTCGATTCGAGCCGCGTTCAGAGATTTCCGGAATTCTACCAAGAATCCTGAATCAAGAATCATCACGTGTTGCAATCTGCTGGTCAGCTAGCTGACTTACGGTGGCTGGCTGTTGGTACTGT